TGTCAGAAATGGATAACAAAACTGCTATTTTCAATGACTACTTATTTTTGTCCAGCTTTAACATCGGTATCGATATCGGTTATCGGCTACATGAGTTTTAAAATATCGGCATATCGGATATCGGCCAAAATCCCAATATCGTGCATCCCTAATTTTTAATGCAACTTTTCTACTTCTGTTATTTGCTGTTGTTTCTCAAAAAAAAAAAATGCATAGCGATATTACAGCTTTCATTGATTTATTTCAAATTTGAAACATTGTCTAGCCTGTAAGGTTAAAAAATAAAAATAAAAAATGAACCAATTAATCGAAAATAATCGAATCGTTGGGTCAGGAAATCGCTACTGAATCGAATCGCCATGATGGATGTGATTTACACCCATAATCATCTTAGCACCCAGTGTTTTAACAATGTTTATCAGCATAATAGAAATAACACAGCAGTGAAAGGGAAACCGACCTACAGCTTTAACTGACTGTATTATTAGAATCTAGGGCTGAAATAATCGGATTAATCGATTATAATTAATATTATTAAAATAATCGTCAACTAATTTAATGATCAATTAACTGGATTCTACAGACTGTAAAATATGCCTTTCAGAGCAAACCTCTTAGAGAAGTAATTATATCAAAAATTAAAAAATATAAATAAACATTTTGCATTTAAGATTTAAAAAATGTTTTTGGTCTCTTAATCTGTTTAATCCAGAATTCCTCAAGTGGAAACGTTTTAGTTTCACTTGGTTTAATTTTGTTATAAAAAAAATCTTCTTTAAAGAACCCTTGGCAATCCGATTATTAATCGGGAAAAAAAACTGAAAGATTAATTGATTTGCAAAATAATCGTTAGTTGCAGCCCTATTAAAATTATTGCTGCTGTTTCTTTTTGTTTTCCAGTTTTCTGCATTTCCCCCCACCAAATGAAAGGAAACAAAAGAAAGGAAGAAATAATCTCCGTGGTTCCCTCGCCAGCCCACTGCCAAACCACCGGCTGCAAAAAGTCAGAACCCATCAACAAGTGTTTTTTTGTTTTCATCCAGCCTGACAGCCAAAAACAATCAGGGAAACTTCTGCCATAGCCTCCAACAAAGCCAAAGGAGAGACCGCAGTCTAGCAGCAAATGAGGCTTTTCCTTCACACAAATCTCCCCAAACAGTCTCATATTTAGGGAAAAACCTCCAAATGCATGGTGCCCCCAAGATCAGCACACCGGCAAACAATAAAGCTCCATCTGTTTTTTCATGGGCCTCATCTCCTGCTAGGCAATGGGACTTCCGCACTTAAAATACCACATGAGTCAGATTAGGCTGCCAGTCCCTTGGCCTCTCAGACACACACCGTTCATGTAGCTCTTTCTGCATCCGCTCTCTGCAGAAGACAAACTAGTCTCACTCTGCTTCATCTTCTCTGTATGGAAATCCCTGGTGATCGTTTTTCTTCATCCTGCGGACAGACTGACGGAGGGGGGGGGGGGGGAGAAAAAAAAAAAGAACAAAAACCCAATGGACTGCTGAGCATTGGAGCCCCTGATGCAATCCCCCCCCCCTTCGCTTTCCCCTCCCCTCATTTTTTAGAGTGTGACAGTCATGTGAACAAGGTCATGCACATTCTTTCATGCATGAGCCTCCAACTGTTGTTGGGCCTCTGACAGGCAGCCTGTGAAAAATCAACTACATTTAATCCGCAAGGTCTTTTTTTTCTTATTTATGGACATTTAAAATTGCTCCAGAGATGAGCAAATTAAAGAAGATTGCTTAAAGCAACGTAAGAAAAGGTCTGACAGCTGAAAAGAAAGCTTATCTAAAGAACAGCTCTGAGAACAAAGCATCCGCACGATCCAGATTTACGGCCAGATAGTTAATGGGTCCTGAAGGTCACTTAAGGCCTGACTAACTTCTCTGAGGATGTCACCCAAAGCATTCTTGGAGGCCAAGAAGCTCCGCTTTAAAAGCCCTAATGAAAAGATAGATCCAAAACTGAAGGAGGGGAAACCTTGTAAAGCAGAAAGAAAACATGAGGCTAAAATCTGCTAAAACCAAAGCTTTAATTAATCGCTCAGATTCTAGGAAAAATGTCATCCCTTCTTTAAATCAATTTCTATTTGTCTACTTTGTTTTTGATTTGATCTGAATATATTGATGGGGAAACTATTCCTCTGGAAAATCAAGTTATTTCGAAAAATAATAAAAGTAAAACCTTCGAAACAGAAAACTGTCTTAGGAGAAGAAAAATCAGAAAAAACATAAACCAACCACCTAAATTCTGTTTGCTTCCAAACAGTAACCAGGATGAAAAACCTTGCAGCCCAAACCTGAACATCTGGAACCAGAAATCAAATATCGAGCAGAAAAAAAAGCCTGAAATGCTCAAAGATCCTGAAGGATTAAGTAGTTTCTATGGAAACTTTCTGCTGATAGAGCTTTACCATTCCCTCTTGGTCATATAAACCTTCTGATCTTATATTTCAGGAATGGTGGAAATAGAAACAGGACACAGATTAGGAGATTAGACAGAAATCCAAACTAAACCCCCTCCCTGGCCCATTGTTGCTGCAGTTTGTTGCACAGACAGCAGTGGAGTCCATCCAAACAATCCTTGCTTCTCCTAATCACTAAAGATTCACAGCTTTACCAAAGTTTACATTTAGAAAATCCGCTTTTTGTCACTTAAATCCTTGTATTTTGTTTAAAGAAAAGGTTCAAGAACAGCCATTAAACTCCAAATAGACCCAACAGAGCTGAAAATGTTTTATACTATTTTTATGGACTTTCATTTCTGATATTTAAAAAAAAACATTTCCGTCTGGTGGGTTCAGTGACACAAACAGCCTCCGCCTGCATCCTCTGGATGTGCATTAAAGTCTTTATTGCCTGTCGCAGTGAAGGCATAAAGCCTCCATACCACCTTCTCCCCCTGGCTATTCCTCGTTTGAGCAAAACAAAGGACCTGAGGGATCAGAGGTCTTTTCCTGGGCCAAACCCCCCCAATCGTCTCCCCTCAGACGAGCTCACATGGTTTGAATCAATGCCGCCACTGGAGCCGTTTACTGGATCCCCTCAATAAATACCATCCAGGCCCACGTTGGACATGTGCTTTGAAAGTGATTTGTCTCTTCTGGTCAGAGAGAAACTCTAATCTCCTCCGACTTAGAAAAACAAGGAGTGACAGAAAAGGATGGAGACACAAACAACAACAGAAAAGAACAAAACAAAAAAAAAAAGGTTTGGGGTGCTTTTGTTCTTGCTGCCAAACATCAGAAATACCCGTCTATATATCCCTTTTGTCACATCTTCCTATAGTCTGGAGATGAGCAGGAAATTGGCCCTTAAGAGCCTTTGGAGATTCCTGCTTTTTTTTTTTTTTACGCTCCTCCAGCACTGAAAGACAACAGGACTCTCCTCCATTAGGGCCCCGGCCGAGCTCTGTGTGGTGCAGCTGCTTTGAAGTAAATAATGGGACGGCTGCTGGTAGTTTTATTGCAACTCAGACACTATCAGCAAGCAGATGCATGGTTGCTGCCTGTTATACTGCCTGACTTAAAAACACAACTACATGTAACACATGTAAAAACAAAACTGATCTGAGAACTCAGCTACTTAAGAGCACTATTAAATATTAAGATGCTGTTGATGGCCTGGGATCCTCGTTCGTGTGCACATAAATCAATAAATGCATGAGAATTATCATTATCTAAACACCGACGTCTTCTTTTCTAGTTGAAGGAAGTCAATCAAGGCTCAAATAAGGACCCTGACTGACTTTACTGCCAATTGTTTTAAATTAAAACCAAAAAAAGATCATTTCTCCTTTTCAAAACGAGTTTCTTTTGAAGCCTAATAACCTATTAGCTGATGGATCCTAAAGTGGCAAAATATGTCTACTGTAAGAATGTGAAGTCTTCTCTTAGCCAGCTGACTAGCACTGTGCAGTAACAAGTGGGGGAGGGGCAGAGCAGTGTTTATTCCACGAAACTCCAGTTACCCTGTCTGTTTCTTTCTCAGAAATCATTAAATTTTATTGTGTCATTAAAACCTTTTAGAAACACCTGCTGGAAGATCCAGTAAATAAAGTAAAGATCTGATAGCTGCAAGAAGATGATGGCAAAATTAGGGGAAAAAAAGTAACTTATCATTAATTGATCCATTGTATGTTAAGTTTGCAAAAACACATACAGATAAAAGGTTTATGTAATTTTCACCCAAAGAAAAGGAAGGAAATGATGCATTTATCTATACAGACATGGAGCTACAACAGGAAATATATGTATAGTGTATCTAAAGAGACTTAGGTTCAAAAAAGAAATAAAATAAAAAATCTTCCATGCATGATATAAGGAGGAGGACAATGAATGTGTGTTGGCCCCCAGAATAAAAATCACCCCGGGGCCCGAATCTGATGCCAATCACCAATTGAGTGAAATGCTGTCCAGGTTGAGGCCAGCTGAGCTGCTGCTGCTGCTCAGGAACTGCAGCCTGACGGGAGCAGCTCTCCAGATTACCAGAGAACCGCGGGGATAAGGCAGGCTGCAGAAGTTTGAGCTGATTAAGGCTTTACACGGCCTGCAAAACACCGCCTGCATTTAGAGCGTATTCCAGGAACGCAAAACCCTGGGATAAAGCTTCCTGAGGTTTCCCATCAGGAGGACATCAAAACAAAAGCTCAACCAGGTGAGACACAAAATAGGGGTAAAAAAAAAAAAAAAAGTAGGTCAGATCCTGGAGATATGATGACAAATATCTACATTTCATTTATAGGGATACTTTCTGCAAACACCTTTCCTGTTTGGAGGCATCTTAAAGCTGGATTTTAAAAGTAGCAGATTTGTATTTTTTTTCTTTAAATATGCAACACAGGTTAATTTAGATATTTTTTATCAATAATTTATAAATTTATTGAAGCAACTAGAGGATAAGGCCTCTGAATATCTTCTTTAACATGAAAAAAGGAAATATTTAATGAAAGATGTGTGGAAGTTGCAGGGAAACGAGGACACCTACAGTGGTTGGAGCCGTTCCAGTGCTGGTTCCTGATGGACGCGCTGTAAGGATGGGGCGCTCCGGGCACCAGCCCCTTCTCTGGGATCAAGCATCCTCTGCTCTGGTTGTAGTAATCCATCATTAAAAACGGGTTCGGGCTGGGATTCAGTCCCACAACGTCCACACTCTCGTACATCATACGCGGCGGCGGGGAGAGAGGCGACGAAAGGCGGAGGAGCGAAGCGCGGCGCGTCGCAGCGCGGCGCTCAGAGGGAGAGCGGCGCAGAGGGACACCGCATCAAAATACGGGAGAAAGTGAGAAATCCAAACAAAGCGGGACGATCCGGATATGTGGCATCCTTCTGGGGAATAATGACAGAATAACAAACACGGCGCTGGAGGAAAGAAAAGAAGCAATCAGCCCAATGTGAGAGCGAGGTTTAGGAAAGCAGTCCGCATTGTGTCCATCGGAGGCGCAACACTGAACACCAGAACCGAACCGACCAACTTCTGCTCAATCTGTCCGGTCCAGGGAGGTCGGCCTCGATCGGAACCAGAGGCTCCGTCCGAGCAAGGAAAGCGGAATTAAATCCCAGATAGAGGAGCAGCAGTAAATCCGATCGCAGGGACGGTGTCCGGGAAGGACGCGCAGATTCCGGAGTTGTTGCCTTCTTGTCCCGTTGGCGCCCGGATCCCTGTGGGCCCCCCTGCCTGTGCTCGGCTCTCTCTCTCTCTCTCTCTCTCTCTCTCTCTCTCTCTCTCTCTCTCTCTCTCTCTCTCTCTCTCTCTCTCTCTCTCTCTCTCTCTCTCTCATCCAGCTGCAGCGCCTCGCTGCTGTTTGCAGACAGAAATGATTCCCAGCGCGGAGCTTCTGCAGTACTGTGACAAGGCGCCGCAGCTGAGGATCTGGCTCCACCTCCACCGGCTGCTTTTTTTCCTCCCCTCGGTGCCTTTCATGCAGCGCTCCTCCCACCTTTAACCCTTTCAGGGCCGCCACAATGGCTCTGACTGCTCACAGGGCCTGAATGAGGCTGAGAGGGGCCCTCCCTCCAACCAAGCAGCGGGGGCTTTAAATAGGAATGAATCTGAGGACATGATTAAGTTATATAAGCTCAGTAATTAGTCTCTCATATCTTTACAGGAGTCCTGGACAAAAGGAAAGCTGCTACAGAATGTCTCTGATTTTTTTTCTCACTTCCAGAAAGGGGAACTCCTCCTTCAGATCTTCAATCAGTGCTCAGTTAGTTTTTTCCTCCTTCCAGCCCGACACTCGGTCTCCCTTATTTGCCTAATGCTATGCTGCTGAACTTTTCCTGAACCCTGGGAAGAAGGCAGCCTCACCTCCTGGTGACCCACCGGTTGACTGGGATTCGCCACCCCTGTCCCACATTATTCAAGGTTTCCCACCTTGTACTGCCAGAGTAACACCATGGCAGGTTTTTTTTCTCGATGGCGGCCCACAGAGGCTCCCTGGTTCACAGAGCGAAAGTGGCAGATAAGGACCATTTTCCCACTGTTTGCTTAGAGCCTGAAAAACATCCATGAAGTTATGATTGTTTTGCTGTTGCATCAATGCAGAGGCTAGTATCTATGTTGGTTCTAGTATTGTGGGCCTGATCTATAAGGGTCAGATCTATTCAGCTGAAATGTTTCCCTCTTCCTGAGCCTCTGTCTTTCCTTTAAAAGGAAAAGTCAGCAAGGAATAATCAATGGATCATTATTTGTACCTAAAACGAATATGTTGACGGTGATTTCATGAATTTAACGTTAATCAGTAAAAAATAAAAACTGTTTTCATTGCGATCACAGAGTCCGGGAGCGGCCATTTTTGCCCAAATATAGTAACACCTCACTCCTGACATCTTCCGGCAGTGATCAAAGACATATTTTTATGCAGACCAGGCGCCTGGCAGAATCATGCCGCCATCCAGATACACCAGTCCAGAAGTCCTTCAAACAGCTCGTCTTCAGGCATCTCAGGGTGACGAGGGCAGAGCAGAATGGACAGACCCACTCACAGAGAAGCCTTTTCCAATATAAAGCTTTATTATGGACACGGGCACAAGTCTGAGTGACTTGTGTTGTAAATGACACCCCTGACAGAAAGATCCACCTCCTCCTCTGAAGGTGCACCTGAGCCATGGGCCACAGCTGGCTCTGCTCAGGATTATCAGAATGGAGCCTAGTGGGGGGGGAGGGGCTCTGCAAGCTCCGCCCCTGCTGACTGTGACACTAATTTAATGCAGACCCCACTGTGTTTACCCTGCCTGATAAGAGCCGATGTGCAGAGCCAGGCCAAGGCAACCCCCCTCCCCCCCCCCCCCCCCAACTGATAGCCACGCATTCCTTGACAGGATTAGTCCGATGAGTAATAGCTGTCAGAAAATGCTAATTTTCCAGGCTCTGTTTTCTTCTCCGAAGGGGATGGCATTCATCCTGGAGTGATACCCTGTGATTGTAGAGGACAAGCTGACAGATAACAGGCTGTTGATCATTACTTAATTAGGGAGGGAGGTCTTTTCCCTTCAACCTTTAACAGACATCTTAGAGAAAGAAAAACAGCACTTTCCACAATTATTGGCATGCCTGGTACAATGCATGAAAAAGCCCTAGGATTCATTATTTTTACATAAAAATGGAAGGATGAACTTTGTTTGTTTTACATCTTAGATAGGGTGCTTTTTGCAATGACTGTAGAAATCTTAAATCCAGCTAAGAAGCAGTTTCCCGACTCTACAGACTGCCTTGGTTCAAATATTCTTCCCCTCTTTCCCCTTTTTACGAGCGGTTGAGAGAAACAGGCACAAATGACACACTTATCCTCCAAAAGAACTGGATCCAGCAAACATTAATCAATGACATCATGATTAATTAACCTTAAAAAGGGTAAATATGAACTTTTTCTGTTAGATTGTTTTTAATTTTTATGGGATTTCAATAAACAGTTTATTAAAAAAAAAAGTTTTTCCCCCAAATGTTGATTTGTTTTTTCTCAATGTATAAACATACTTTAATCAAAGTTGGCTTTTTTTTTCAGTATTTATTTTAAGACCTTTTCTAAATTTTTACCAGAGGCGAGTTGGAGAGGGTGGAGTTAATCTTAATGTTTGCATGAACTGAATCATTCATGTTCAGTAAATAGATTGAATGCCTGAGGAGTAAATCCCGAACATCCATCTTAAAGCTGCGCTGGCTTTAGGCTTTGTCTAGCTGACCCTAAATGTGTTGTGGCGTACAGTACATCCTTGTAAGACCACAAATCAGTTAATGATTCAGTCTCATACCATTTTAACATAAGCTCCTTTCAGGCAGCACTTCAAAGGAGGATTAAAGCACGTTTTTGCTCTTTTCTATTCTGTAAAAGGACCAATGCGGTGAAGGGGGGGGGTCAAAGTAAACCATCCCCTGCTGCACTCTGACTCACCCAGTGAAGAAGTTAGAATGACTTCTAGGCAACAAACGGTCCCAGTGAGTGATGCAGTAAGTTTTTTCTGCCATTATTGTTTTGCTAAACTCTTTATTGTGAATCTTTTCTACACTATCCAAATAAATCCAGGGATTAAAATACAAGTGAAGTAGCTTAAAAAGTTCTCTGGACAACGTATGCATCCGATTTAATCTGAGATCACGTGCCATTTCATATCAAAGCTACGCTGGAATCTCTGAGCTCCTCCCAAGGTAGACATCAGCAACAGAATATCTGAAAAATGTTAGGATAATTCTCACTGTAAAAATAATTAACCTTACATTTTTAAATAACAAATGATTTTTTTTACATCTAATTTCACTAGAAAACAGTAATGAGGGACACATGCATTATGGGTAATACATGATTAAAGCTGGATGGCAATAACTTCTTTAGTGAACCAATTTCAGAGGGAAAAAGAGTCTCCATTAAAACTACATTGAAATATTATTTCTATCCTGCTTTGTAGTCCAGGGTGAAATCATTGAGAGCTGTGCTAAAACTACAATGATGGCTGCTTTCACGTGAAGTTGCAAAAGTATTTAGATATGATAATGATCATATAAAAAAGAAGATAGAAGAAGAGTCTGACAAAGTCATTTAGAGCAGAGCAGCGCACTGTAGCCTCTAGTTACCTTCATAAACTAGCAAACTTCAAAGCAAAAAAAAACAGCCCTGTTGTTTTTTTCAAAATAAAGCAAATCAGATAGATAGATAGATAGATAGATAGATAGATAGATAGATAGATAGATAGATAGATAGATAGATAGATAGATAGATAGATAGATAGATAGACTTTATTCTGGACTCATGGTCCAATAAATACATACATGAAATAAGATACAAATAGTTAATGATAAAAACACAATACAAGTACCATTTTCGACAAAATAGGAACTTTAAGAAGGCAGGAATACCAGTGTCTCCACAGCTTAGACTGATATCGGATTGCACTACGTTTGGTATCAGTAAGTTACGGAGCCCCTCTGATGACATGGACAAAAAAATTTTTACTTGTGGCCACGAAGTAGTATTTCGTGGCCACGCAATAAGTATAACGTGCGCACGAAATACTACTTCGTGGCCACGCAATAAGTTTAACGTGCTTATTAATAAATAAATACTTATTAATAATATTAATATCATTCCTGGACAACTGGGTAAGCAAATCGAGCGCGCCTTCTCTAAGGTCTAAGGCGCGCTCGATTTGCTTACCCAGTCGGTCTCCGCCAGTCACGTGACATTTGTTGCTAAGACGCTATTTTAGGTGGAAAAGGCGTAGTGTAAACAACCGCAGCATAGCTAAACGAAGGACTAAAGGCCCGTTTACATAGCAGCCTGTCCAAGATAAGTCATTACAGTTAACATAAGCCTGAAAACAGGGGCGGATTTATTGATATTATTAAAAAGTATTTCGTGCGAACGTTAAACTAATTGCGTGGCCACGAAGTAGTATTTCGTGCGCACGTTATACTTATTGCGTGGCCGCAAAATACTACTTCGTGCGCACGAAATACTACTTCGTGGCCTCAATTAAACATTTTTTTTGTCCATGTCATCAGAGGGGCTCCGTAGTAAGTGACAAAATAATATCGTTTCCAGATGCATTTAACCTACAAATAAACTTATACATTAACTTTCGTAAAACAGCTTGTAGGGTATTGACTCTTGCTGTGGCAAACATCTCACTTGCACTGGACCATCTTGGATGTTTCAAAAGTACCTGCATAGCA